ACCAACAACAAAAAAGGAATGAAGGTGAGGCTATTCTGGGCAGAGAGTACAAAGTGAGAAAAAGCACTGAGGAAGGATACAATATGAGTTCTATGTATTAAGTTACATGCAGCTGGCCACTGTGCACATCTGCTTTGTCCTACACAAGACTGGGTGGCATCTTCACTTTCTTTGTCATGGAGGTGTGGAAATAGAGGATCAGAGACTTGAAGCAACTACCCAAGACCTCAGGATTAAAACCCAGGTTCAATATATCCACAGAAGAATTTATTAAACTAAGGGGTTGGTTGTCCATTACACTGGGAGTGTGGCTCAGTGGCTCAGCTTGGGCAAGGAGCTGGGTTTGATTCCTAACACCATAAAAATATACACACACATACAAACAAACACAAATGTTCAGAGCAGCTTTATTCATAACCTCAAACTAGAAATGATCTCAATGCCCACTAGTAAGAACAAATTAGCCAGGTACTGGTAGCTCATGCCTGTAATCCTAGTTACTTAGGAGGCTGAGATCTGAGAATTGTGGTTCAAAACCAGCCAGGCAGAAAGTCTGTGAGACTTCTTTTTTTCCTGCCAGTCCTGGAGCTTGAACTCAGGGCCTGGGCACTGTCCCTGAGCTTCTTCTTTTTTTTTTTTTTTGTTGGTCATGGGGCTTGAACTCTGGGCTTGGGTGCTATCCCTGCACTCTTCAGCTCAAAGCGAGCACTCTACCACTTGAGCCACAGCACCACTTCTGCTTTTCTAATGGTTTTAATGGAGGTGTCATGGGCTTTTCTGCCCGGGCTGGCTTTGAACAATGATCCTCAGATCTCAGCCTCCTGAGTAGCTAGCATTACAGGCGTGAGCCACTGGTGCTCGGCTTCGGCTTTTTCTGGTTATATGGTACTGAGGAGTTGAACCCAGGGCTTCATGCATGCTAGGCAAGCACTCTACCACTAAACCACACTCTCAGCCCCCATGAGACTTATTTCCAATTAACCACCAGAAAAGTAGAGGTGGAGCTGTGGCTCAAAGTGGTAGAGCCCGGGGCTGGGAAGGTGGCTCAGTGGTAGAGTGATTGATTTGCATGCATGAGGCACTGGGTTCGATTCCTCATTAACACATAAGCAGAAGAAGCCGGAAGTGGCGTTGTGGCTTAAGTGGTAGAGTGCTAGTCTTGAACAAAAGAGCTTAGTGATAGCACCCAGCCCCTGAGTTCAAACAACATGTTGCCAATAGCAACAACAATCAATTCATAAAGCCAATTCATGATCTATATATGCAATGGAATACACTCAATTTTTAAAAATGTGCAGAAGCAACAATAACATGGATGAATTTCAAAATTTATGTTAAAAGACTAGACACAAGATTCTGCCCTTAACTGGGGAGTCGGTGGCTCATGACTATAATCCTAGCTACTCAGGAGGCTGAGATCTGAGGATCACAGTTCAAAGCCAGCCCCGGCAGGAAAGTCCATGAGACTCTTATCTCTAATAAACCACCAGAAAACCAGAAGTGGCGCTGTGGCTCAAGTGGTAGAGTGCTAGCCTTGAGTTGAAGAGCTGAGGACAGCGTCCAGGCCCAGAGTTCAAGCCCCACGACCGACAAAAAAAAAAAAAGAGAAACAAAAAGATTCTGCCCTTTATGATGCCTTTTATATAAAGCTTAACACAGGCCAAACCAAGCTGTGGTGATAGAAAAGCAGTCATGTGGTGGGCTAGCCAACAGGACTAGGGGTCCTAGCCCCCCATCAGTTTTTGTGTGGTTTGAGTTTTATGTATAAGCACAAGCAACATCTGTAAATCCCAAGACAGTAATGCATTTTCAAAACAAGATCATCAGTGCACAGCATGCATTCACATTCAGCCTGAATCAGCAGCACTTGCTGCATCTGATGATGAGCCATGCCTGGGGCTATGGGGAGAGGAGCTGCTGGTGCTGGGGACAAGCTCAGGATGTGCAGGTCAGGAGATGACCTGCTGTGTAGCCTTGGGAAAAACACCTACTCTGACATAGCATCAGTCAGGGTCTCAGGGCTGGAAATGTCAGAGCAAGAACCAGACCAGGCTAGAATTCCAGCCCCCACTTAGCCCACATCCTCCCAGAACCCAAAGCCTCAGCTCACCACCAGCCCTGTCCTCAGGAATCTGAGACCCCAGGACTAAATTAGCCAGGCTCAACAGAGGGTCAAGACAAAGGTGAAGATCCTGCCTTCACTTCTGTCTGCTAGCACTTTTGAAGCCTTGGTTTCAGTCTGGAGTCAGGGCACTTGCTTCTCCACTGATCGGGAGAAGGATGCAGGGAGCACATGAAGTTAGTCCTTCCTGCCTCCTTCTACCCTCAGGAAGGCTGGGCAGGTCTGGATGCCCAGGGGATGGGGCAGTGCTGTGAGCAGGGGCTGCTGATGTGGATGGAGCTAAGGGTCAGGGCCAGGAGGTGCCTCATTTTCCTGACACCATCCATGTAGCCTGGACAAAAAAGCAGAGGACCAGGGACAGGGATGAGCAGGATCTAAAGGCAGGCCCAGGAGTGAGGACCAGAGCTTAAGTGTTGTGCTCAGGACACAAGCTCAGCTTAGGAGCACAGGGAGATGAAGGACAAGACCCATCTGTTCCACACATTAACAGCCCCATTACTTCATTCTGATTGAGCAGTCCTGACAGTCATTAGTCTGGGATGGATGGACAGACGGGCCAGGCAGGGCCAGTGGTTCTCACCATTGCCTTGACTCCCAACATAGGCCTTGCAGAACATGCCAGGCTTCCTAAGGCACCTACTCCTCAGGAGGTCTAGGGAGAGGGGCCTATGGCTCTGGGCCTTCCAGGCTTCTTCAGCAGTTAGGGGCCTGGCTTCCCAGGGCCAGATGAGGCCCACAGGAAATGTGCAGCTGAAGGTCACAGGTGTGAGAAGCAGGTATAGTCATGACCACAGACACTCTGCGGTTTAGACCTCATGCTGGTTCTGGAGCCCTGATCTTCATTCAGGGTTGGTACATGTCTAACTCCTCACACACAGCCTGGGTAATTACCAATTAAAACTACTCTGGCCAAGGGAGTTGTACCAGTGCAAGGTGTCCATCAGAATAAAGAGGGCCCTTCTGAAGGTGCCGCCCACAGCTGCTGCCACAGAACAAAGGCCTGCTTATTAATCCCACAACATCCTAGGTCCACATACTCATGGAGCATGCAGAGCTAGTATGGGAAGAAATGGGATTTGGAATCCACAGCCCTGGATGTCACCTTGGATGCACTGTGTGGCCTGGGCTGGCCATGTCCCACTCTGAGCCCATGAAATGGAGCCAACAAAACAGTTTCACACACTGTTGCCAGAACTAGGTGAGGAATGGAAGGCGTGGAAGTTCAAATGGTAGTTGTTCTTACCAGTGGTGTACAAACACCTTTCCTTTCGGTTGGTTCCTAGAAACCATTTCTAGGTTCCTATGAGTGTAAAGCATGTGACAGTCATGGGACAAGTTCCCACCAAGACCCAGTCATCCTGGGAAGGATGGAGGGTGGGAGATAAAGGAGGAAATCTGAGAGCATTTTTGAGCAACTCCCTCCTCAGTTCTTCTTGATCCTGAGGCCCCAGTTGGCCTGTCCTAAGGATGGAACTACAGTCCCTGTTCCACATTTGATCTCCTTTACTCTAGTCCCTACCCTGCCCTCTAGGCAGGAAGGCAGCATCCAGATCTCACTGGGTACAGGCCAGACCCTGGCCCTGGGCTCTCAGTGCTGGTTAGCTATCTCGTTGGTTGTGAGCTCCCCAACCTCAAACCACCACCATCTCTGGGTTGGGACAGCAAAGGCTTAGCTGTCCAATTATTCCTGCCCCTTGGGAAACAAAGGGCTAAGGACCTACAAGTCCTGCTGCAGCTGGGTCCCTTGTGTTCCTCTGCCTTCATCCCCTAGGAAACTCCATCCCCAAAGCCTGGCCTGCCAACAGAAATGTCACCTCCTTGACACTGGGAGTAGAAACAGACAACCTGGGCCTTCCTGTGCTATTTCAGGGGTACACTGTCTGTCTGGGGCTTCCTGTCCTCACCTGTCATCCTCACCTGGGAGCTGGGGAGAGAAAGATGGCTGTTCCCAGGGCTGCTGGCAGGATAAGAACCTGCTCTGGGGAGAATGGCCCGTGGCCATGATAAGGGGGCCTCCCTCTCCCTTCTCTCAGCCACATTGCCTGGTCCCCAGACCCAGGCTGCTGTCCAGCCCAACCAGACCCCTGACTGTCACTAGACACAGACAGGAGGCAAACTGGATGGGGACCTGCCCCACAGTAACTATGCATGGCTGTAGATGACAGTGTTGAGAAAATAGCACTGAGACCTCAGGAGTAACTGGCTATTCAGTTTCTAGAAGGTTCCTCAGAAAAGAAGAACCAAGCTTTGTCTTGGAGGAAGAAGGTCCAGTCCTTCCCTTTGGTAACTTATAGGCCTGGGCACTCGCTCTAGGGCAGGCCAGCAGTGCCCAGGTACCATGATTCATGCAGACAATAGCCCACATTCCCTGCCCCAGGGAGCTGTCTGTCCTTCCTTCTCCAGCTCTCCCTGACAGCACCCCACCCACCCAGGGCTTCCTGCTGCACAGGCAGAGCCTGCTGTGGACTCGGGCATGTGGGGCAGCTCTGGTCACTCTGACGATGTGACCGCAGGTTTCCACGCTGACCTTTGTCCCTCTCCTCAGGCCTGCCCTTATCACGGTGTTTACTCATCCTTCTCCTCAGGACCCACTGCCTTCCTGGTGCCGCCCAGGTGGGCTCGAAACTCACCAGACTTTCTCGGGGCTATGTTTGGGGTCGGGGTGAATGCAGCCCCTTGGAAACCAGGACTTGGATTGCTATGGACCCCGAGGCTCAGGAAGCCCCGCGCCTGCCCCTTAGGCTTCCACCGCGGTTCTCAGGCCCCCGTGGTGCTGCCCGCTGCATCCTGACTCCCTCGGCTGCCCGAGTTCACCGCAGGGAGGTCGTGGTCAGCGCCCAGACGCCAGGGCCCGGGCGCCACCCCGGGCCGCACTCACCCATGTTGACGAAGCTCATGACCAGGTCGGCACGGCCCAGGCGCCGCTCGGGGGCCCCGCCGCCGTCGTCGTCGTCGTCGCCGGCCATGGCGTGGTAGAGGTCCAGCATGAAGAGCGGCGCGGACGCGGGCAGCCGCGCGGTGGCGGGGGGCGCGCGGGGCCGGGGCCGCCCGGGCAGCCCGAGCACCGCCAGGATCTCGCGCTGCATGTCGCGGCGCTCGCGCGCCCCCAGAGGACGCTGGGGGCAGCTGTGAGGGGGGCGCGGGCCGGGGCCGCCGCCCAGCGCGCACAGAGCCAGGCCCAGGAGCCACAGGGGCCCCGGGCGCGCGGCCATGGCGGGCCGGCCGAGGGCTCAGCGGTCGCGCATCCGCTCCACCGCGGCGCCCAGAACCCAGGGCCAGGGACGCCCCGACGGCGAGTTGGCCGCTGGGCTTTGCGGCGCGGGGGACAGGACGGGACGGGCGCGGGCTTCTTCCTCAGCGCGGTCCCCACAGCGTCCCGCGCCACGAGGGCTCCGCCACGGGCGGTCGACGCCACGAGGAGCGGGGGCCACTTCAGGCTTTCGGGGCTACCGGCTAATCCGTCTGTGGCCGCGGGTCTGCCAGTCCTACGGAGGCCGGGAGCCGCGCAGCTGGCAGGGGCAGCGGCCGAGCTCTGAGGGGATCCCGCGGCTCCGACCCGCGAGTGGCCGGTGCGCGTTCGGGGCCGTCTGTGCGGAGGGCGCGGTCGCCCTTGGCCCCGCCCCTTCCCCGAGGAACCAATGGGATCCCGGGGGCGTGGCCAGAGGGCGGTCCTACTCCGGTCTGTTCTGGGGCCTCGGCTGGCCTGACAGGTAGTTGCAATCCCGAGCGGAGTCTGGATGGTGGCGGGATGGACCTCCTCCCGGCCCGAGGAGGGGTCCGCAGCCTCGACGTTAGCGTCGGCAGGGTGGCCTGGGTCTCCCATCCATCCACCGCGGGGCGGCTCAGGGCCCGGTCCGGAGGCCCCAGGGCCTCTGCTGTCCCAGGAAAGCGGCAGCCTGCGCTCCCAGGGGGCGAGTCCTCGGGCGCCCCGGCGGGGATCTGAGTCCTGGTCCCGCCAGCCCGTGACCCGCAGCCTCGCCAGGCGCGCGGAGTCTACAGGGCCCCTCGCCTGCAGTCGTGTCGGGCGCCGCCAGCCATGGCCCGCGGGCGGGCACCTTCCCCTCCGGCAGCAGCCGGGTCTGCTCTGGGGTCCTCTCCGGCTTCTCGCGGCCGACGTCTCCTTTTCGGACAAATGCGCACCGCTGCGCCCGCGGCGCCCAGCCTAGGCTTCCACGCTCCAGGGCAGCGCTGGTCCCCCACCCCGCCGGTGTCTGCTGGGCGCTCTGTTGTATCCTTTGCTGATCCAACCATGCCCTGGAGACGCGCACTCGCCTCCAGCCTCCTGCCTCCATCGGGGTCAATTAAGATCCTCTTCAGACACCCGGGAGATACTTGGAGTATGTTCTCAATTGTCGGGTCCAGCGGCTTGCAGAAGGGTTTTCCTGGAAACGCCCCAACTGATTCGGCCTCTTTGCACACCTGCCCTCCCGTAGCCGCTCATTGATTCAGGGCTTAGGTAGAAGTGGGTCCGAGACTGAGTCCGGAGACTGGAAAAACTGGCTCTGAACGACAAGAAAGTCACAAGAAGTAAAGTAAACCAGCATTTACCAGTTCTCAAATGCACACCCACCTTTTAAATCCTCACCCCTTTTTGGGGCCTTGCTTATGGTGGTTCTTTTTAACAGGTGAGGAAATGAAGCACGTAGAGGTTGAGGGAAAGGGAGGAGAAGAGAGGGAGAAAGAGAGAAGGTACTGGGGCTTGTTTCCTCACCACCCCACCCCACCCCGGCCCCCACTGCCACACTATGCTGCTTGAGACACAACTCCGCTTCCAGCATTTTTGCTGGTTAATTGGAGATTTTTTTCTGCTGGCTGTGAACCACTAGTCATCAGATCTCAGCCTCCTGAGTAGTTATTATTATAAGCATGAACAAAGGAACTTTTCTCAATTGCACAACAGTGGGGTGGGGGTGGGGAAGTTGGACATCTGCAGGTTACCTGATAAGTGGCACCATGAGAGCTGAGGGACAAATGGGCAATGCTGGAGGGGCTGTCAAGGGGTGCTGACAAAGGGCCATGTACCTAGCTAGGACCATGGACCTCTAATATTTGTAGTATTTCTCATGTAGATTCAAAATTAACCCCCCCCCCCAGGGGTTTGAGGCCGCTTCAAAATCTAAATATCAGCTCAAACTTTAATGGAATTACATTTTGCCCATGTTTTACAAAGCATGTGCCTAGCCTTCCTTTTTTTTTTTTTTCTCTTCACAACAGGCAATTTCCACATTGTAAGTCCCCTAGACACTAAGGATGCTGCTTAGCCCAAGGTGAGACCAGAGCCAGAACGCTTATGGCTATGGCACAGGGTCTGAAGCTGAGCCTCTGATGGTGCTGTGAAGGGCCAGGGAAGGCTGTTCTGGAGGCTGAATCCCCAGGGCTTCATGACAGACAAGGTTATCAAGGGGCTGTCCATGTCAGTTTGGTCAGGGGCTCTGAGTCTCTTGTCCACATCCCCTTCACTGTCCTTCCTGCACCCTGGGTGCTCTGGTTGTGTTTTGGGCTATGCTGCAGTATGTTAGACTACATGCAACCCAGTGTGATTCTTACAACAACCTAAGGCTGAGACAGATATTCATCTCAATTTAGGATGAATGGAGACAGCTATCTTTTTAGCAGCTTCACTTTTCTGTCAACCCAAATAGTGGGTCTTAGCCTTCCCAACAACTCAGCCCACAATTCAATTCAGCAACCACCACAATGGGCTGCTCTGTACTGGGCCCTAAGCCAGAGATGAGGCAGACAAGCCCCCCTACCCCTGAGTAGTTCCCATATGAGTTGCTGTGGGGGAACTTGGTCATTTCCAAAGGCAGAATGAAAATTGTGTCTCCAGAATGGCTGAAAAAGTGCCTGGAAGGACAGAGGAGCTAGGTCCATGTGAGTGGAACCCAGAAAGTGGGATGGGAGGCATCTGGAGTGGGGGAAGTTTCTAAGAGAAAACCGTCAAAACGTGGTATTCCCAGAGGGATATGACAAATTATACAGGCTTCTAGATATAGTGAGACCAAAAGAGGATACTTTGGAGAGAATGATAAAGGTGCAATACCTAAGTGCCTCTTCATATGTATATAAAATAATACACATGCTGAAACTCCAAAGGAAACAAAGGACTTTTTTTTTCTTCTGATGAGTCTGTATTACCTTATATATGGTGTATTCACATGTACATCTGGTGTGTGTGTGGGGGGGGGGAGGGTGTTCATAGAATCCAAGGGAAAAGAGTAAAAAAGTGCAGCAGTGGAGTGCACTGGACATCAATATGAACTTGAACTATGTAACTCTTGGGTGGAGATGGGAGGGAAGGAATGGGAGAGGAGGGAACATGGCACTATATAAAAGGAAATGTACTTATTACCTGATATATGTTAATGTAACCCTGCTGTATATCACCTCTAAAATAAATATAAAAAGTAATGATATTCAAGATTACGTGCATATGCTAATTATCCTGATTTGTTCATGACCCAGACTATAGATGTATCAATCAACACATTGTGCTCTTCCCAAAACATGTCCAAATACTTTGTTAGTTGAAAATAAAATAAACTTAAAATGTAAAACAAAAGCCAGGCACAGGTGGCTCACATCTGTAATCCTAGCTACTCAGGAGGCTGAGATCTGTGGATCGTGGTTCAAATCCAGACTGGGCAGGAAAGTTCATGAGACTCTTATCTCTCACTACCTACCAGAAAATTGGAAGTAGAGCTGGCTCAAATGGTAGAGTGCTCGGCTTGAGCTGAAGGGCTCAGGGACAGCACTCAGGCCCAGAGTTCAAGCTCCAAGACCAACAACAAAAGTAAAAAACATGGCATTCCCCTGCCACTTGGTGACCTTGACAACTTAACCTCTCACTTTGGCACAATCCCCATGGCCTGTATAGCAATCACTCAATAAATGTTAGCTACTGTTATTACATTATTTAAGGCCCTAGCAGACACTGAATTTATATTTGCTGTCACTTTAATCTCAACTCTAACTTTTTGTTTCCTATGTGAAAACAGTAATTATATACAGGTGCTTGATGAATCGAAATAAATTTCCTGTGGTGCTACTACCACCAGAGCTTTACTGAAGAAAATCAAGGAAACCAGAATGCTTTGGTAAGGAAAACTAGTGACCACAGTCTAGTCTCTGAAAAGATGGAGGTCATCTAGTCCCAGCATGCTTCTGCTGCCAGGCCTATCCACAGAAACCAATTTGGGCAAAAATACTGTTCTATACAAAGATCTGGCAGCTTGAGGTTATCCAGTTGCCTAGAAAAGAGAACAAGCACTTCCTTTAAGAATCCATAAGTGCATATTCCTTCAATCTGGACATTTGACTGCCCCAAGTTGCTTTGGCAAACATACATTGCTACTGTTTCCTGATACAGATGCTATGGATTTAGGGTCCTCTCTGTCCACATTCTCTAACCTTTTTACTGTTAGAACTGTTATTCTGAACTTTATAAAGCCAACTAAGGGCTATAAAGAGACAGTGCTGGATATGAGTAGGGACTCAAGCAGTCTGTGATATCACAGAAATCACGTTCTTCACTATAAAACAGGTGCTAGATTCAGTTGACTCCCAATATTGAGTCTTAATACTATGAATATGGTGATCAGCAAGAGGATCTCAGGGCAGATCCTACAGTTAGTTGTTTATTTTAGTATCAGGAACCAAATGTGGGCAATTTAGCAATAAGCTATCTTCCATTAAACCCAGGGCTTTTTATATGCTACATAAGGGCTCCAAAACTGAGCTACATTCTTGGTTTGCTAAGATAGCATCTTGCCATGTATGAGGCTGGCCTCAAACTCTTGGTCCTCCTGAGAGCAGACTGCATATATATATACTGATCTTTGTTCTTTAGACTTATATAAGTAGTGACTAAGCAATTAAAGTCTGATGTGTCATTTGTTCACCAGTCTCTACTTGTGAGAAGGCACTGGCTGCAATCACCCAGGTCCCACATCACCCTTCTCCCAAGTCAGCTTCCCAAAAGATTGTTCTTGAGGGTGAGAATCCCTGTTGTCTTCTAATCAGCTAGCTTATTAAAATCAAGTTTTTTTTCTTATTTCTTTTGTCAGTCGTGGGGCTTGAACTCTAGGCGTGGGTGCTGTCCCTCAGCTCTTCAGCTCAAGGCTAGCACGCTACCACTGAGCCACAATGCCACTTCTGGCCTTTTCTGTTTATGTGGTGCTGAGGAATTGAACCCAGAGCTGGCTGAGCCATC